TGCTCGCCCCACTCTCAGGGCACTCGCCCACTTCTGCATCACCGTCGACGTTTTGCAATACGTCGATGGGTGTTCCCTGAAATGCTGTTGCTCGAGACGCAACAAGCGTCCTCATCCTTCTTCGCATGCTGCATTACTGGCAGTCTTGGAGCTGATCATCAAGACTGTTTTTCAGGGACAGTGGTCAGGAAATCCGATTTCCTTTACTTTATTAAAACTTGGAAAAATTTCAGTACACAGCTTGAGCATGTAGATTTCAAGGACATACCCTTTAAAATCTTAAAACTGGCTTGTTTTCGACCTGTTTCACCTGGCTTTCAAACCTCAACGTTGTTGCTGTTTCATAAGTATTTGTATGGGCCAGCGAGACATATACAACCATAACAACATAGCTACTGCCGCCAAGAGAATCATTAAGAATGCGCGTAATTTTGCCATCGCGACATGACACATGTTCTTTTGACTTGTCGGCCGGTGCCGAAATTACGGCGCTCAATACCAGCAATCCTTCGTTTGCGTTAATTTCTTCTCTCATCCACTCCCCTTCAGCTTGCGACTTTTTCAGCCTTTTTGAGCCCGTTAAATTCACAAGCTGCAGCTTCGACGTGTTCGTTTTTTCGCTTCCTTTCTCAGTCGTCACTGTAAAAACACATGAGAACGAAACGATTCATTATTCTATCCCTTTCGCTTGCTTCCGATCTACCCATAATCAATGATAGTACAACTGTAACATCCAAAAGAGCAGTGCAATCGTCACATATCGTTTGCTGATGTGGATTTGCCTCAAACACCTTGTCGAAAGCGTATTTTTTCGTTTTGCTAAATGTGGTTGCGCCGCTTATAAACACCGATGCACTTGCCAAGCACTTTTCGCCAGTTCACGTTGGCTAAACGACCGCACACGGACAGCAACTTTAATAGGCATAATAGTACTCGCTTCGGACCGCAGTTGACTAGACGGCGTCATGACAATTCCCATCACTGATTTCATTCGCCATTCTGCCCGCCTTTATAACACTCCTTAGCTAATTTTTATGCGTTTTTTGCAGCAATGCAATGCGAAAAACGCATATTGACGAGAGGTTGTCT